GTCTCTCCAATATTCCTTCTGAGCTTCGCCAATTTTCTCCCCTTCTCCCTCAATTTTCCCCCCATGCCCCACTCAAAGCCGAAGCTTCCCCTTTCATACAGAAATAGGGAGAACTCAAACCCTTTTCTAATTCTAAATTCTTCTCTCAATCCCTAAAATTACAGATAATAATCTAGCCCTATTAGAATTTGGAACTCTAAAACTAATCTAGTTCTTTACACATCTTCCCTCTTTTAAGGCTAGATTCATACCTTTAAAATATCAAGACTCCCAATTTGAATCGACTTCGAAAACTTCTTCTGCGACTCTTGATAAGAGCTTCAAATCCGAAAATCTCTTCTTGTGTTGTTGTGATCTATCTAAACTTCAAGTGGATTTGTATTAAAAGAATTTGGGAATTTTGGGAGAGTGGCTCACGACAAGAAGAAGAATCGTGAAAGTGAGGGGCTAGGGTTCATATGAGCCCTAGCCCCCCTTTTTATTTTTTCAGCCTTCAAGCAAAACGACGTACTTTTGCAATCTCTTCCCCTCAGCCCTTTAAGTTTTATGCTTTTATAAAAATAGTCCACTAAATTTTGGTTTTATCATTTAGCCCCAATTAAAATTGGGTTATGACAATATGCACTCTCAGTGTCTTTTTTTTTTTTTTGACTGTAAAAAACATGATTAGTAAGTTAGTATCTGTTCGAGTGTTGGTCAAAAAGTCGAGGTCGACCTGAGGAGCATGGGCTACGCTTCACCTTGCTTTCACATGGAGAAACGTGACCACTTGGGCCAGATAGGGGAGTGCTCTCAGTGTCTCATTTAATTCCACATTTACACTGACGACAAAATATAAATATCATTATCTTCCTCCTGGATCAGCAGTTTTCTGTGTTGATGCATCTAATCAGATGGTGGGAACCTAATCATTGAAATAAAATTGGTAATATTACGTACGATCAATACTGTAGTGATTTTGGTTAGTCATTTTGGTTAGTCTTTTTTTTTAGTCCACTCATTGTCATATATTGTTTGTTACGCAAATTGTCCATAGCTTGTGTATTCAAATTAAAACCAAACTTCCGGTTTCTTGACAGTGTATTCAAACAACAGAAAGCACATGGACCCGGAGTGAGTTCATCTGCATGCAATCAATGTTTTATATATGCTCATAAACTCACCTCTGAATTATGTGGATATCAAGAATTTATTTATTTATTTATTTTTGGTAAAGATGAAATATAACCAAACGTATTACTGTTTGGGGTAGCAAACTCCTACAAGATCAACCATACACAACAGACTCACATAAGGTGGACAGTCAAACAAAATATATGAAACCCATGAGAGGCCAATGCTCCCTTCTTGGCAAAGATGTCAAGAGTTTATTAAGCCTCTAGAACTAGGATCATGGAAAGTTGATGAGATGGTTTGGCAGGTGATATAGATGTGTAGATTACCAACCTCATTATTGATATGCTAAAATCACTATAGTAAATGCCATGTCACTCTAAATAATATAATAATGAATAGAGTATCAAATTAATGAAAATTGTGATTAATTAAATATTAAAAAAATTAATTTAAGATTTATTTAAATAATCAAGAAGAGGATTTTATTATTAAAAACAACTAAAAAAATTAACAATTTAAATAAAATTAACCAAGTTATAAGGTCCTAAATGTATCTGAGTTTATCATAATCAAATAATATAAACTCTAGATTAGTGTACTTCCAAGATCTATTTGTTGAGTGTGTATGTGCTGATGGATTTCTCTAAATTAATAAATTAGTTTTATTAGGTCAAGTTAATCTTTCTTTATTATATTTTTATATAATTTAAAATAAACTAATAAGCATTAAGTGATATTGAAATCTCTAGTTTAAAAAAGGAAAGTTCCTAACTCTCTTCTTTTCCTTACTACAACATATGATGTTAATTACCTCTCAATCTAATAGTTTAACACTAGGTTTATATTATTATTGGTTTGACCCATGCAATTCCTTTTAAGTTTATAAATAAATCACGTAATCAATCAAAAAATAATCAAGATTTTGAAGTATTAAATTCAACAATAAAAACTCGTCATACATCATAGCCCTAGAATACTAAACTAATTCATACAAAAAATAATAAAATCTAAAATAATCATGATGAACTGATAATCTACAAAAAATAAAGAAATTAAAGTTAAAAAAAAGAAGCAAAATTCAGTATAAAAATATTGATTTTCTTGTTGATATGTGAAGTTTTATCATCTATAACTTAAACTTTAAGAATGTTCCAAAAATAGTTACCAAAAGGATCCCAAAGCTCTTTTAATTCTAATCTTGAGTATTTATCTGAATGTAGAAATCCTAAATTAAGTAGAAGTGGAACTCCCATCAAAATAATAAGGGCTTGGTGAGAAAGTTCTGAAAATTGCCTGAGGGGTCGATGCTCTATGTGAGGTGCCAGCACTTGCAATGTATCCGTGAGTCCGTGTCGGCGATTTTGGACCAAAACGCAATTTTGGTTCTTAATTGGTAAAACTGTTCTGATCTTTTTATCTTTCATCAGTTGACAATTTGATCCTAATAGTTCTGATTTCTTTGGCTTGATTCTTAAATTTTGATTTTTTTCAATTAAGTCTTTTCTTCACAAAGAATGAGAATTATATAAAATCAAGTAAAATCTCTTAAAACTCATTCAAATATCAATACTATCAAAACAAAAATTTCACAATAATATATATGAAAATTCAACTATCAATTATCTTTGCAAAATTTTTCACTATACTCACTGGTTAAATATTTGAATCACAAACTCTCCACCAATAACCTACTCTACATAGTGATTGCTGAAACACAAACAAGCAATATATTAATCCTGATCAAATTTGATGATAGTCTAAGAAACATTAGGATATGGTACTCCTCAAAATTTCTTTCTTACTTATTTTACACTTGTCAACTAAATCAAGATTTTCTTATGAAGATTTAGAACTCGTCTGGCAAATCTTAAAATGTATTTTGTTTGAGAAAAATACTTAAATTTAAAATTTTGTTTGAGAAAAATACTTAAAATTTATTAAATTTAAACTTAAGATTTTATATAAATAATATTTTCATCCAAATGTATGATTTTATTTAAATAAAAAATTAAATTATCAAATAAATAAAAAAATTCAGCTCAAATATTAAATCCCTTGCCATGTAAGCATGACATGGCAATATTTTGCCATCCAAGCAGCCAAGCGGGATGTGTCCTCAACGCAGTTAAGTCAGGCGAGCAGCCCCAAACGGCAGTTAAGTTGGCGTAAGAAGAAGGGCGTAATTGCATCCATTAAAGGGCTTATATGCATCCATTACTAGGGGCTTAATAGCAATTCTGGGGTTAGTTCAGGGGCTTGACTTGTGGTTTTGCCAATTCAAATCGGATATCCAAAATACACAGAAGTTTGACGTCCACGGGACAATGAGGAAGAACAACAAAACCCAGTGGACATGTTCCCACCACACACCCATCCTTCATTTGGACTTTCTTCATCCATTGATTCACCTTCAGTTGGACTTTCTTCATCCATTGATTCACTTTCAGTTGGACTTTCTTCATCCATTGATTCACCTTCAGTTTCTTCATCCTCACTTTCAGTTAGATTTACTTCCTCTAGAGCACACTTGGGATGGAGATTAATGTCACTCTCTTTACACCTAAATGCCCAGACCCGTCCATGTTCATTACATTGATCGCATTCATAATCCATCATACGACTAAGAGTGAGCTCAAGCTTATCATCCCAATGATACTTGACTTTCTCAGGCCATTCCTTTGCCATTTTCTCATACTCTGCTTCAATCTCCTTTAAACGCTCCTCAGTGAAGGGATAAGCTTTAGCTCTGTGCATTTTGATGAGATCCTTGCTTCTTGTGTAACAGTTCGGCCACTTGACCCAATGGCAACAAGCATAGGTATGCCAATGACCTTGAATCTGCGACTCAATGATGATTTCCTAGCATCACCAAAGGGAAGAGCCAGCCAAGGCATTTTAGAAAAAGATTTATCGAAGGGGGCCTGGTCATTGTCGCTAGAAATAAAAACCACTTCCAATGGTTCATGCTTTGCCTTGATCTCGTGGTATGATTCAATTAGTTTTGGCAGGAAACGATGGCATTGAAGGCAATGATGTCCTGAAAAGTACAAGAGAATGTTCTTCCCCACTAAATCAGACACTGGCATCTGAAATAGGTGACAAAGTATATAAGATCAGTAGACGGAAAAAGAGAGGTGCTAAGGTTATGAAACATAATCTGTGTAAGGCCAACTGGTTATAAAAGACATGGACAAATCTAATGACTGCTAAAATCATACCCTGACTCCATCCTTCCCAATGACGAAATCCAGATCCCCAGAAACCAAAATTGACTCCAACGTTTCTGAGCCTTTTCCATTTCAGCAAGCTCAGCAAATTTTTTAGGGGTAAATGTTATGCCCGAATCCCATGCTCTTCAATGGCTTCAGCAACATTGGACTGGAGAGTTTTCCCATCAGGTCCAATGATAACAACAGTTGGAATGGTTGAGAGCTCAAAGTACCGCGCCAACTTCTCACAGCTTTTGTCTTTAAAAGGTAATGCTAACCAAGGCATGCCTCCAAAGCTTTCCTTGAATGACTTTTCTTCATCATCAAGAGATATCAGTACAATCTCAAAAGTTTCCCCTTTTTCTTCCAATTTCTTGTAAACCTCTACAGGTTTTGGAGTAAAATCAACACAAGACTTGCAAGAAGACAATGAGAAATATAGACATACGGTCTTCCCTCAAGTTTAGATACAGGCACCTTGTATATTAAAATCAAGAAGAAAGCATAGATTAGCAAAGGAATCATAAGTTACTGAAGAACTCAAAAGGACAAAACTGCAAGAAAAGTTCAAATAATTAGCACATTATCAAAAGTTTACCTTGTTTCCATCTGATGAGATTACAAAATTACGTGAAGATGAAGGCGAAGCTAAGATAGATAGTATGGTCTGTTCCCTTCGAGCTTTTTCTTCTACTTCCTTTAATTCTTTGACCTTTCAGCAGAAAATGGGTACCCATCCGCTCCGTACTTTTTTATGAGGCTAACTCCATCATCGGTCACAACCTTTCCATGTTCATCCAATATCACAAGACGGGGTACATTTCTCACTTGGAAAAAATCGTTCAATTCATCAAGTGTTTCTTCCAAATAGGGAAAGGGAATTGCAAGCCACGGCATCTCTGAGAAGAATTCTTCGAATGAAACATCAGAGTAGTCCCATGAGACAAAAATAATCTCAAAATCACCTTTGGAAGAGAGTTCCTTATACACGTTCACTAACTTTTGGGTAAATATTTGACATATTTCATACTCTTTGGCTGAAAAATAGAATCCAATTTTCTTCCCCTCCAAGCTGTCAATTTTAACCTACAAAATCAAAATTTCAAAAAGTAAATTCCCCCACCAGTCAAGCAATCTCTCACTAAACCAAATCTACAGCATATCAAACAAAAGTGCAAATTTCATGTTTTTTTTTTATCAGCAAAACAAATACTTTATTAATATTTAATATTTAATGGAGCACAAGGGGTACTCCTGCCCTTCTATACAGAGTCTAATATGCTTACACTCCCAACAAAACATAAAAAGAACTCCCGCACTAAAACATGCTGAAAATCCCAAAAAATCATTAAAGACCACAACCTTCCAGCTTGCCCGAATAGTAGACCAAACGGCCAAAGGAAGCTAAGTGGGAAAATGTCGTTGCTGCTGCTTGGAGAACAGCTTGAGAGATCTCTTGTATCGCTTCAGCTCCTTTGCACATTCCCTGGGATTACTTTGCCAATGAGCTAATGAGAAAACACACCCATTCACCTTATTTCTAATCCAAAAATAAGACTTCACTTGAATTAATTCCACCAACTGTTCTTTAAACTCCCCATTGCTTCTAAATACCAAAGTATTCCTCCAGAACCATAAATACCAAGAGGTTACCAAAAAAATGCATGCTCCCATCTCCTTACCCCCCACACTGCCTAAACACCACAAGAGAACATCCACCACACCCCTCACTGTGTCCGGCATTACCACCTCCAACCCCCACCACTTAATCACCTTAACCCATACTAACCAGGCCGCTTGACATGTACAAAACAAGTGATTAACATCTTCCACACCCTCTTTACAAAGCCCACACACCATACCATCCCCTTGTAAAACCACCCCCCTCTTCCGCAAGTTCCACCTTGTTGGAAGTCTATCCAGGCACAACCTCCACCCAAAAAACCCCACTTTAGAAGGCACCCACTTACACCATACCAATTTGCATAAATGTCCCTCAAGCAAGCATTCCTCAGGAGCTAAAAATTCATAAGCTGTCTTTACAACATACCTCCCTTCTGCAACATACTTCCACTGCCATAAATCTACCAGACCCTTTCTTAACTTTATATTCGCCAACACCACCCCCAACCCTTGCTCCTCATCTTTTTCGCGACCCATCCTCTCTCTTCTCCACTCTATACCCCACTTCCAACTTTCCCCTTCCCAGATTCCATTATCCCTTACCGTGCCATCCTTATTGATCGCTAATTGAAAAAGCCTTGGAAATAGATCTCGAAGAGATTTATTCCCCACCCAAATATCTCTCCAAAAACACACCCGACAACCATCCCCCACCTCCCATCGAAACCCATGACGTAACATATTTTTTAACTTCTCTGACTTCCCACCAAGTCGAATGATGTCTCCCCAAATCTGTGACACCCTTAAGTTCTCCACATCTAAAATACCCACCTCTTGCTTACCCTCGTAAAATTTCTCTTTCACCACCCTTTTCCACAACCCCTCCCTTCCATCCCCTAACCTATTTCATGTAACTCACTTCTACTCTATCTCTGTATCCAAACCACAACCCAAAGCCTCTAAATCCCTTTCCAAAGGCTACAACATGATGCCTGGATCTGGATATACTTGTTATAGCTTAAATTAAAATGAATTTATTTTGGATAAAACTACAAGGTTCCTTTGATGTTATGTTAGCCATATTTTCACTAAAAAGCTAAGGATGGACAGCTCTTTTTCCTTTTTCCTTATATCTTACCATCAGCCATCATGCAGGCCCAGTGATTGAAAAAAAGCAAATTAGAGAAAATTCTTAGAATCAAATAAGAATAGTAATATTCCAATACTAAGCTTATTATCAGTCTCAAAACTCAACAATCCCATTCCCTTCGGAGAAGCTAACTTGATGAACTGATTCAAGCTTCTATCTGAACAAAAATAAAACAGAAAAACTCAACTTGGGAAGAACAAAATTCATACACTCATTCAAGTTTCTATCCAAGCAAAACCAGAGAATCTGATCTGATTTCATAAACTGATTCAAGTTTCTACCAGAGCAAAATAAGAGTCGTTCCCCGAGTTTCGACCTTAATCAAATCAACCACCAGAATCTATATATGAAGAAAATAAGAATCAAATAAAAGAGTTGAAAGAGCGTTACCTGATCGCCGTTGTTGCGGATGAGGAAATCTATCTCTAAGGAAGAGAGAAGCGAGCGAAAATCATGATGAGAATCACCGCCAATCGACAAGGAAGACATCATTTCAATATACGCCATGGATAGAGTGAGATTTTATTTTAGAGAGGAAAACTTCTTTGGGTTCTCTTGGTTGAGGGAAGAGAACACGGGTCTGCTCTGCAGGGCCATGCAATGCAAGAATCAGTGTTGGGAGTTGGCTGCCTTTTATAGGACTAGGGCATGCAAACGGGTGAGGCAGGCCGGCTCAAAACCGGCCATGGGTCAATAAATACTGAGCAGTGCTAGGGGCACTCGCCTCCTGCACTCTCCAGACAACACATGCTTTTTATTGGGCCACGTAAGCTTGCATTGCGATGAAATGATTAACTCTCCTGAAACCAGTATCACGTGGCCCAATGAAAATGGACGTGTTGGTTGGTGAGTGCAAATGGCGAGTGTTCCTAGCTTTGCTCATAAATACTAACCCTAACCTGCGCCTCGCGAGGTTGCTTATCAACAAGGAGAGAGAATGAGAGGCAGAGAGAGAGTGAGAGTAGACAGCAACGGGGCACGCGGACGGTGGATAGCATGGACCTGGGAGCGTTCCAGAAATCAAAGAACCGAGAGGGGCTGGTCGATGGTCTCCATAACAGAGGAACATGGAAGTCGCAAGATATGTGGGGATATGATAGAAGGGTGTATAACCAAGCTACTGTATTCTTCTTCACAAACTTCCCAGACGATTGGAGCTATGAAAGCATGTGGCGTACGTTTCGGAAATACGGAAGAGTCTTGGATATTTATAGCCCAACGCCGAAATCTAAATCAGGAAGCAGATTTGGCTTTGTAAGATACCTAGATGTGAAGAATGAGGTGGAGCTGGAACGGCAACTGGATCAAGTTAAAGTAGGGTCGTCCAAACTCTGGGTTAACAGACCAAGGTTCAGAAAAGATGAAGAGAGAAACAGGGTCATTACAAAGTCAGCCGGGATGGAACATGTCAAACCAACAAGATCCTATGCAGAGGTGGTGAAAGGGAATCATGGGTTGGAAGCTAATCAAGTAAGACAACTACAGACAACCTTAGGAGCTAGAGTTAACCAATATAAGCAGCAAAAATTAAACTCATCCAAACCATCATCACAAGTTTGGATAATGAAAAACAATGACCGTGCAAGTGCTGGATTGGAGTTTGTAGTGAAGGAGAAGGAACTCCTATGGCTGGAGGGGTGTTACATCGGAACAGCTTATTCAGTTAATATTATTCCGACTCTGTAGTAGAAATTCTTCATGGAAGGATACTTTTCGTGTAAGGTAAGACCGATGGGGGGATGTTTAGTCCTATTGGAGGGGGGCGACAAAGATGAGATCGAGGATTTGGTCGAGACAACACCGGAATGGCTGGGGCAGTGGTTTGAGGAGATAAAACCGTGGTCCCCAACGATGGTAGCTAGAGAAAGATTTGTGCGGGTACGATGCCAAGGCGTCCCAAGTCATGCCTGGGGGCCAAAGTTTTTTGACAAAATTGGGGCTGTGTGGGGAAAGGTTATATCCTTGGATGATAGTACTAGTAAAAGCTTAGATTCGACATTGGGCGCATGTTGATATCCACTCCCATCATGGAGTTCATTTCAAAATCTATGAATATTACAGTAAATGTGACGCCATATGTGATCAAAGTAATGGAGGAAGAAGCCACTAACAACATCTTCTTCATGAAATCT